GCTGTGTGACGTCTTTTGGCAGCCCTGCCAGTCTGGGGCACGGACTTCTGACTTTCTCCTTGTGGTGTTTTTCTTTTCAGAGGAGACTCGTGCCCGTTATTCTTCGACATCACCGTGCACTGTTCATCAGCTAGTCGATCTGATTCAGGATACGAAGTCAGGATCTTGAGCAGGTGCGGTGACTGATGTTGTTGTGTCAGCGGGGTCTGATGTCTGGTATCGTCTACCTCAGTACTTGTGGCTGAGTTTGCTTCGGCTGTCCAGCCTCTTGGAAACCCAGACTTCGGGGACTGTGCCTCTGGCTCAGTGGGGGCTGGTTCAGCTTAGTTAGATGGGTTTGTTGGATGTTAAGGTCTCAAAACAACAATCCTTCATATACGTTTTTTTACTATATACCAAATAACTATAGTACTTCCATTATGATTGAAGCGAGAATGTTCTCCTTAAAAACGTTCAAAATAGAAAAACCCTTTAAAACCCTTGTCTTGAAGAGCCCATACATATATGGGTTGCACATACAGTACCATCTACCATTTAGCTCTCTACATCGCCTGGCTTTGAACATTGCTTGTTTTGCTGTCAAGGTTGACCTGGAAAACCCCGGTGGGAGACCCATCACAGCAGTTCTGACCAACTCCGGTGGGAGACCCGTGTCCTGCCATTGCCATGTTCAGCCTAGTGAAAAAACATCAATAAATTATAAAGATGTCGAGTTATCTGTTGGTGTGCTACCGGAGTCAGCTGTGTGACGTCTTTTGGCAGCCCTGCCAGTCTGGGGCACGGACTTCTGACTTTCTCCTTGTGGTGTTTTTCTTTTTCAGAGGAGACTCGTGCCCGTTATTCTTCGACATCACCGTGCACCGTTCATCAGCTAGTCGATCTGATTCAGGATACGAAGTCAGGATCTTGAGCAGGTGCGGTGACTGATGTTGTTGTGTCAGCGGGGTCTGATGTCTGGTATCGTCTGGCTCAGTACTTGTGGCTGAGTTTGCTTCGGCCTGGTTACTCTTATCCATCCGCTCATGTTGATTTTCCTCGAGGTCTGCTATTCGAAGTTTCAGTAAACTGCTTGGACGCTTCTTTGGCTGGATTGTATTTGAGTTGTCTCGTCCTTCGTCTACATGTAGCTGATGGTGTGTACTGGATTCCATCC